GTAGGATGAAGGAAGCTTTAATGGAGGATGGAAGGATGAAGGAAGGAGAAAAGAGGAAGGAAGAAGTAAGACCCTGTTCTTTTTGAGCTTTTGGGTGAGCAGATAAAGCGGATGCCAGCAAAGTAGAGCAGAGCATATTGAGTCAGCAGAGTAGAGCAGAACAGGGCTTAGCAGAGCAGATTTCAGCAAAGCAAAACAAAATAGAGCAGCTCAAAAGAACAGGGCCTAAACAATTGTTATTTAGTTTACAAATCATCCGAAACAACACCCTAAATAATTCATAAAATTTCGATTTTACCCTCTTTATTAAGATATTTTGTCAATCATAAAGATTAACTTGTATTTTCTTTTTTATTTGTCAAAAACAAATATAACTCTATTTGCTTAATATTATTTCAACATTTAATTGACGTTTATTGTTATATATAACTATACATGATGTGTGCATTGAGATTGTGACAAGTTTGTGAATCACATTCTATGCTTTACGGAGTATTGATCTTTCAAACCAAAGAAGTACTCATTATCAATATTGAGTATAACCAATATTAAACTATGTACCGAGCTAATAATTATAACACTTAAAAAATGGTGGGAATATATTGATGATCAATGAACACTCTACAATCAAGGGAGATTTTATAAACAAATATGACCAATAATCACATTAGGTTAGAAAAATACCTTTCACCAAGTTTTGTTTGTGTTGCTTCATAAGATCTATGATACCTCTCTTTCCTAGCTTGTGTCTTCCTTCTCTAGCTTCCATCCGTTAGATTCGTACAACCTTATGCCACCCTTTAATTTGGCCGTCATGCATGAATGCATTACAAGAATAGTGATTTTTTTTAAATATTAGGACAATTGTTATCGTAATTGTAGCTCTGTATAAATTGATCGATAGAATAGAAGAGGCCAAGTGACAACTTATGTATATGATAATTTGTATTAAAATCCTCTTTACCAAGTAAATTGTCAAGCCAAGCTAAGGTTTGAAACAATGTACTCCTACTTTACGTATTTTGCACGTGTGCCAATGACTTTCCACTTCCTGCAAGTTTTGCCTTCACTCACTTCGATCAACAGTAAAACCCTTGATCACCAAGCTTAGTTAAAATAAAAAAAGTTTGATTTGGCCCATTAACGTATGTATGTAATGCATGTCGTCCAAATTTTACTCTCCTCCTTTTTAGATGCCAACTTTTTCATGAGTTGCTTCTACAAGAATCTCTACTGCTTTATTCTCAAGAAATATTCAAAGAACCATACTTTATAAAGTTTTATAGTTTCTATTTTTCAACCCTATTTCCAAATAATTTATTATCTATTTGTATATTTCAATTCGTAGATTTGCCAACGATCATTTCCATTATGTGTTACACTTAATGATGATAATGTTTTACAAAAAAAATAATTAATTAAGTACATTATTGATTAAATTTGATGGAGCTAGATATATTCAGGGGAGAATTGCAACATGATTATTTCAAATCAATAATAGTCTATAGGGTAATTATCAATCCATCAATTTAATTATCCATATAAATTTTGCTAGCACCTAGTACTATAGTAGTATCATCTATAATATATGTAGGGTTTTATTTGAAGTTATAGTCCGTTTAATATTGATGATGAATAAATAAAAAAAGTGTCCTCTCATTATCATGGACAAGCTAATATAACAACTCATATATTAAAAATGATTTGAAATGAAGTTTATATTCTCAACAACATCCATCAATATATTTTTTTCTCTGAATAACAATTACAAAGGTTGGTTTGCATTGGAGGAATAAAAGTCGGTCAATAGTAAACTTTACATAGATTAATGAATTGGGAAATTTAAAATTGGACAATTTATATTAAAAGTGGCTTGTTATCTTTAATTTACCAAGTATTTTTTCAATAATGCCATAGACGAATAGTTACATTAGACACAAAGTACTAACAGATCATCAGATGTTCCTTAGGACAAGATATCATTCACCGAGATTTGAATCCCCACTTAATGATCTTTTTCTTGCATATTTTCTTGTATTAAGTTCTACATTATTCCCTTTGTAAGCATTGTAACATCACAAATTTTCAAAACACATATCTCTCAGTATTTTTTTTAATGAATTCTAAAGTATTTAGAAACATTAGCCATTTTGTCACCAATTCAATAATTGTTGTTTTGGATATTACACACACAAATTTAAGAGCCGTTTCTGTCGCCTTAAAGGACTATAGAAGAAGATCTTGAAGGAGACCAAATACCGACGTTAATCTTCCTTTTTGTCTTCAATTGAGTTGCAAAATTTGACCCTTTAATTCGTTTGGAAATAAAAGAATGGAGTAGACAATATAGAATAGAAGACGAAATTCTCTTTTTTGTGTCTCTATATTATTACAAGTACACATCAGATCATCATTAAAGTAATAAAAGGGAATTTTCATATTTTATGTCACTTTATTTAATTTGATTTAACATTTCACTATATTTGATGGAACAGTATGTTAAACACATGGTATGTGACATATAGTGTAGTTTGTATTTCAATTCAATCTTTGTGAATTGTGATAATTGGTCCTTTTTGCTTCTTTACGTACAAAATGTGCACACTTGATTGTTTTTCATTTATTGGTAAAATCCAGTATTTGGAGTTGGAGTGATCTGAAAGATTAGTTTATTTTCCAGCTGTTTTACAAAGAAGAATGTAAAATTGCTTGTGATGGTGACGAGTTTATCTAAGTTTTGTGATTTGTGAAGGATAATCTCATATAAAAGCCGTGGAATATAATTATTATGGGGTGAAACTCATGAACATCATGATTTGAGATTGAAACATTAGTACATTATTTGTTATTTGTGGCTCTCTCAGTAACAAATTATGTAAAAATAAGTAATTGGTTTTAAGCTAAAGTTTCTAAAAATTAAGATTCTATTGATAATTTTAATAAAGAAAATATCATTAGATGGTCTTAATTTCAAGACTGGATTTTCATTAAATAGTGTAGATATCATTTTCAAGTTTTTCAACGAGATAAGGAATGAAAGGTTAGCAACTTTTTGGTGCAGCAGGCTACATCGTATGACAAGGGTTTCCTGAGTTATTTTGTTAGGTATTACATGAGTTATTCAGTCAGAGGTTACTCGAGTTACTCGGTCAGGGGTTACTTGAGGGGTTTGGACAAGGATTACTCGAGGGGTTAACTCGGTCAAGGGTCACTTGAGGGGTTACTCGGTCAGGGGTTACTCGAGTTACTCGGTCAAGGGTTACTTGAAGGGTTACTTGAGTTACTCGGTCAAGGGTTACTTGAGTTACTCGGTTATGAGTTACTCGAGGGGTTTGTTCATGGATTACTCGAGGGGTTACTCGGTTAGGAGTAACTTAAGTAACCCCTGACCGAGTAACTTGAGTAACCCCGGCAAATCGAGTAACCCCTGACTGAGCAACTTGAGTAACCCCGGCAAATCGAGTAACCCCTGACCGAGCAACTTGAGTAACCCCGACAAATCGAGTAACCCCTGATCGAGTAACTCGAGTAACCTCTATTCGAGAAATTCGAGTAACCTCGGCAACTCGAGTAACCCCCAACCGAGTAACTCGAGTAACCCTGCCGCACGATACAGCAGGCCGCATACAAAAAATTGAGTTTGAAACTTTCAGGAAAAAAAATAAAATAAAATAAAAAGTTTGAAACTCAAGTTTTAGAATTTAGTCAATCAAAAAACATCAATCAAGCTATGGAATATCTCCTAAAATAACCCCATTTCCAACACCATTGATTGCATTATTGTAATTGAGATCAAAGAGTTATACAATTTTTTTTATATTTTTATATTTTTATTTTGTTGTAGTTGTTGTTTAGAGTCACAAGGATGGTTCCTTAAAAAAAAAAATTTGTCACAAGAATAGAGTGATTAAAATCAATCTCAGGATCTCCAGGAACCAAGAAGAAAGCTCTAACCACCTGAGCTCTTACAAACTCTCAAGCTTTACAGTTATTAACTAAAGTAATACTACTACAAAATGGAAACTCAAAAACAAAATACTACAGAGTACTCATGAAATTTAAGGATCACTCTTGATTTTTGATTTCATCGAATAGTATGTAAATAATAGGTGTGCCTTTCTCAACCGAATTTCATTTGATAAAGTATGTTATCCCTGAATTTAGCATATCTAATCATTTTGAAATTATGATCATGAATTTAACTTAGTATATGAACTTGTAGTTGTGAAATGAATTATGGTATTTCTAATTGTCTCTTAACTAATTAATCTAATAATACTAACCTTATATTGTTTCCAAAAAAAATAAAAAAAATAAAAAAAATTACTAACTTATATAGTATTCCTTAGTCCTAAGTCATATTTATATGGACCTGTTTTATCGAAATAAGTGAAGACATTGATAAGAACATATAACATGATTTAAGATTTTCAAATTAATTGGAAATAAGTACTCCCTCCGTCTTAATGATAATTCCTTATGGGCAATTTTCACGGAAATTAATAAACATAAATAAGAAGTAGTAAAAGTACATTAGAAAGGTAAATTTATGTTGAGTATGCAAAAAAGTAGAGAGAGAAAGTAATAAAAATACATGGAAGAACAAAATTTACATGAGAAAGTTGAATTTGCACAAATATTGTTGCAAATTGGAGGGAATTTTGGTATAACATTAATATTAATGGTACTTGAAAAATGCAAATGGGACTATGATTTTGGGACTTAAAATTGGCCATAAAAGACTATCAATAAGGGACGGAGAGAGTAAATAACTTTGCCTAATTAATTCAACCTCACTACCATGACTAATAAAGAATCTAAAAAATGAAAACATTAAGTCAAATTAAGCATTAATTATACTAATTTATCAATGCTTATATGCAACCAGTGGTTGCATATAACATTATCCTTTTACGAAGTATATGTACTTTTCAAAAAAAAAAAATATATGTTAAGAAAAAGGGAAAGAATTAGGACCCCCCTCCTCACGAGGGGCGATCCTAAAGCATCTGGGGTGAGAATGGGGTACAAAGTTGAGGAGGTACAAAAAGAAATATCCAATTTGTCGGTGACAAGATGTCCAATATTTGCAATCCAATCTGCTGCTCTATTTGCTTCTCTGTAGACATGCCGAATTTTCCAATGGGGGATTATGTGAAGTAGGATCTTGATATCTGCTATAATGTGATCAATCTGCCACAGGGTCGACTAAATACCGTTCACTGCGTTGACAACTAGGAGGTTGTCCCCTTCAATTTGAAGATTTTGTATTCCTTGTTGGAGGGCGAGGATGATTCCCTTGTGGAGACCAAAAGCTTCAGCTACAATGGCATTGGTGGTTCCAAGGTTGAAAGCTTTGTGTTGTAATGGGTGTGCCGTCACTGTCTCTAATGATGACTCCTGCTGCTGCTGAATTGTTTTTGACCGAACCGTCAAAGTTGAGTTTGAAGGAGGTGAGAGGAGGAGCCTCCATGAAACTAATTGTGGGTTGTGGAATGGGTTTGGGATCTTTGCATTGGAGACCCCCAAGCTTAAAGAGGTATCTATGAAAATGCAATAATTCCACTCTTTGAACGCAAATTGCGCTCGGTGGAAGGTTCTAGGGATGTCAAAAGTCTCATTCTTGAAAATAATAGAGTTTCGTTCTTTCCAGATACTCCATAAAAGGATGATAAACTTTCGGAGGGAGGTGTTTTTCCGAAGCGTAGATAATGTTGTTATTAAGTCTATGGGTGGAAGTGCACCAGGCAACCAGCTTTGGGTTAAAACGTGGTTCCAAATTTCTTTGGCCCTATCACCAGTAAGAAATAAGTGATCATGAGATTCCGGATAAGTGCAACAAAAGGAGCAATGATTGAAAGGAATAATCTTTTTTTTATAAAGGGTGTCTCTAACTCCAACACTATTATGCATTATTTGCCATAAGAAAATTTGGAGTTTAGGCGGGATGTCTAGTTTCCATATCCAACGATGTGGCCATTTTACAGCATTTGGCTCTAAATTATGTGCTATCCATGTAGCCGACTTTACTGAAAAATTCCCCAAACGCGTAGTGCCCCATACTGGTGTGTTAGCCATTTGAGAGCTAGGTAAGGGGATGCCTATAATTAGTTGTACAATATAGTTTGATAATAAAGAATAAAGTTTATATTTATTCCGATGTCGATCGGGGAGAATAAAGTATATGTTATACTTGTATATTGCATAATAAAAGTTTTTTATCATACTCGTATAGAGTATAATACAAAGATCGCATAAAATTACGAGTAATACTTGGGAAAACGAGAGTGTAGGTTATCACTTATATACGTCAATGTACAAGAAACTAATAAAGCACAACATCAGCCAACCTAATCAATCACACAAAAATATGCACGACAAACATGAAAAAGCACTATTCTTGACAATTAAGTGAAACAATGAGGAAGTTGGTGGTCAAAAAATACACAAAATTCCGTCGTTTTAGTATAAACCCCATAATTTATCTGCCGGCACCGACTAAAGAAACCCTTCGTCATCACCTTAGCCGAAGCCCTCATTTTTGGGTTACATCGAGTGGTCCAAATTACTCTAATTAACTATTAAACGACCCTACTTCACTACACCTCTTTTTATTAATTATTTAATTAATTAGCTAATTAATTAATAATTTTTACTTTAATTCAAAAATATTTTACAAGAAAAAAAATTATAAAGATAAAGAAAAAAATAATGAAAAGGAGAATGAATTGAATCCATTTGGTGAATATGGGTTTAAAAAAAGTTAGCTAAAAATCAAAGCTAAATTATTGAGCTACCTTAATTATTGGATTAAAGTTTCTTGTTGGTAGGATTACTTATCGTATTACTGATAATAGTCTACTGCTTAATTAATTTTACACCTGTTAAAATTTTATTATAGAATAATTCACCTGATTAATAAGTTTGTAATATTAAAGTTAGTAATCAAACTACATGAAAATGGGTTGAATTAATTAATTAATTATGTTCTTTGAGATTAGGTAAGTTTTGTGTTTCTTTCACTATTTGTAGTTATGTTTTGACTATGATTGACGGGGTCTAAAACATGATAGTACAATAAATCAATAATTACTAACAAGGGATAGGTCATTAGGTCATAACTCACAATACAAGATGAAGGATCCTTTGAGAGTTTTGACTAGTAATGTTCAAAGAGGTATGTTTGTGTTTGTCTCACCATAAATTTTGCTTGATTAATGTTAGGACACTATAAATCCGAGACTACTTACACCTTACAAACATGCGTGCAAAGTGTGATCTATATTTCATTGTTTCAACATGAATCACACGTAAATTGTTTTTTAATAGATTTTAACTGATTAACGTCATTATACACAATTTATATTATTTTACCTCAAGCGTGAAATCATATTAGGTTGTTGATGATGCCACAAAAATTACGTGTTTGGCTCTATGGAATTAAGCTATGAACAATTAGAGTGTATTATAAACCCCATTAAACAAAGGAAAGAGTGGATAAGTATACTAAAAGTAAACAAAGGAACACTTGGGGTAGTTTAGTACATATAATAACAACAATTTCTTAACAATTGTTTAAGCATTGCTAATCTTTCAACAAACCCAAAAAAAATGATTATATTTTTGTTTCTTTTTATTAAAATTAGTGGACATTTTTTTTATAAGAATCTTCCTCTTCCTCCCCTGAAATTAGGTAATAAAGTGGGTTCCTTGATTGCCACTCCAAATTGAAGTGAAGAATTCCTTAAGGCTATACATATAAGCCCCCCTTTTCCACTATCCTATAGGATAATCTTCAATAACAATGCCCTTCTACTTGAAGTCATCTCTTTAATCATATTTTTCTCTCCTACCTTCCTATTTCATTAAATAACTGTTTCATTCACATTTTTTCTTACAGCAGTCCTTCAGAAAAATGGCCACTTACATGGTTGAGTCGTCTGACAGTGGCTGCGGCTTCATAGGCGGCTTATTTCAACGTCGTAGTCTTTGCTCTAGGAGGTCCTCGGTCCGCTCTTTGCCTTCGAATACAAGCAGTAAGAATGTAACTCAGAAGAAAGATCAGGGTAAGCCTATTGAGGTTTCTGCTGCTGTTAAATGCAGACCTGAAAAAGTTGTGACAGAGAAATCAATTACTCCAACTGTAAAGTCTAATGTGGCAAGTCCGAGGGGTTCGATTTCACATAATCATAATCAAAGTAGAAGACTCTCTGATGCTGCTAGAACTTCCACAACATCTTCTTCTTCCTCTTCAGCTAACAGAATTCAGGAACGACAGTCGTCAGGTGATCAAAGCGAGGCTGGAACTCCACGAGCTCCTTCAGGGAACATACTGCAGTTGGCTCAAATCAATAGCCTGAAACAGAAGTGTGTTACTCCTAACAGTAACACAATTGTCAACAAGACTTTGGAAATTAATAATGTTACTATGGGAAATATACTAAGGAGAAACAGTACTGATGAACCGCGGTTTCAGAGTTCACTGAGTAAATTGGATCCTGAGGAGTTAAAATCCTTGGGAAATGATAAGTATAAGCAGGGTAAATACGAGGAAGCTTTGGTGTTATATGATCAGGCTATAACTATAGATTCTAGTGTAGCGGCCTATCGAAGTAACAAAAGTGCTGTCTTAACAGCCCTTGGTAGGCCCCTAGAGGCAGTTTTCGAGTGCAGGGAAGCTGTCAGAATCGATCCTTCTTATCAACGAGCTCATCATCGTCTTGCAGGACTTTACATAAGGTACTAATTATTTTATTGCATAGTTTAGCAAGAAATGAAAAAATGTCATCTCATAACTTAAAGAAGGCACACGGTAATTCCCCTGTTTATTTTATAGGTCCCTCCTATACAGCAAAGTCACTTGTGTCTTATCATACACGCGTTTTACATAAGAATTACTCTTTTCACTGGTTTGTTTCTCTGTCTATGTTGATAATGACTTGTGTTGTTATGTAAGACTTGGGTATGCAGAGGAAGCGGTCCAACATTTTAGTCTTTCAGGAAGCATAGCGAGTATTGCTGATATAACTCAAGCCAAAGCTCTTGGAAAATGCATCAGTAGGTGTAATGAAGCCAAGGAGCTTAAGGACTGGGGAACTTTGCTAAGGCAGACCCATGATGCATTAGCTATCGGTGCCAATTCTTCGTTACAGGTGCCTAAGTCAATCAATTGCATATCCTAATTGTTAATTCTATAAAGAAATTCTAGACTTAAGGGGTTCTGACATTTTGAATTTGCCTTTATTTCCTGAATTTTGACAAGAAGATCTACGCGCTTCAAAGCCAAGCCTTGCTGAATCTTTTAAGGCACGATGAAGCCTATGCAGCTTTTAAGAAGGCACCTTCTTTTGACATGGATCTTTATACTCAATTATTTGGTGAAACAAAAACCACTTTCCTATACTTAATCAAAGCACAAATTTACATGTCAACAGGCAGGTCAGTGGAGTAACATTAGTTCTAGTTCTTAATGAAGTACAAGGAGGTGAAATATGCTAAAGACTGTTAATGTTTATGTTTGGAGCAGGGTTGAAGACGCGATTACAGCAGCTCAAACAGCAGCACAACTCAATCCAAACGACAAGGAAGCAAGGAAAATGGTAATAAGAACACGGTCTGTGGCAGTAGCAAGGTCAAAGGGAAATAAGCTCTTCAAGGAGTTAAAGTTACAAGAGGCTTGCAGCATATACAGTGAAGGGCTAGAGTATGATCCTTATAACTCTGTGCTTCTATGTAATAGAGCAGCTTGTCGGTCTAAGTTAGGCCAATTCGAGAAAGCAATGGAAGACTGTACTCTGGCACTGAACCTGCAGCCTTCTTACAGCAAGGCTAGGCTAAGACGAGCACATTGTAATGCGAAGATGGAAAGATGGGAAGCTTCGATACAAGATTATGAAATTTTGATCAGGGAAAAGCCAGGGGATGAGGAAGTAGGCCGAGCATTGTTTGAGGCTAAGGTTCAACTCAAAAAAACAACGCGGTGAAGATGTCAAAGACATGAAGTTTGGGTCTGATGTAGTTTTAGTATCTAGCATCGAGTGTTTTAGACACTTGATCACTTCTCCAGGTAACCATACAATATTTCCAAAACCTAACTAGTTAGTAGTCATATTTCATATACCTCTATATTAAGTCTTTGATTTTCATGATTTAAAGAACAGTTTTCGTGTCACTATCTACTTAACTAGACTACTAAATCGTGCACTCTGTATTGAAAATTATAGGAATGTCAGTGGTGCTGTTCTGCAGCAAATCGAACCAGGAAAAGGCCGTGACACTCTTGGAACAAGTTTGTCCAAAATTCCCATCCATCAATTTCCTCAAGGTTTGTTTGCTTTAGCTAGCATTATACAACATGTACCTGTTTTTCAAAGCATAGACTAAAATATGGTCAATAATCTCAATATGAACATATTTGTTTGCATTCAAAGTACAAAAAACATGCTTGAAAATGATGTGATGTGATAATTAATTTGTAAACAGACTTCAACCGTACTTGATAAGCTAGACAGGAAGGTATGTACTGTGTTTATTTAACTTGGACGACTCTTTGTCAAGGAATTTTGAGTCAACGCCGTGTCATATAACATATTCAACGCTTGCATTTAAAGCAACCAAATATTGCACATTGTCTTAAATAATACAGAAGGAACAAAACAATATTCCTTATTTGGTAGGAGATGAATACTACGAAGTATATTTTGTTTGTTGCAAGTACATTGTAATTAGATGTGCCAAATGGATTGGTCAGATCGATTTTGGTTTAGTCTGATTCGGTTTGGATCATATATAGGTGATAAGTCACAATTAGTTCAGGATTTGTCAATTTGGGTCTATTGAACTTTTATTATTAACATGAATCAAGCTAAATTAGTCCTACATATGTTAATGTCAGATCACTTTTGATCTAAGTAATCGGATACGAGTCAGTTTTGTCACGTTTTATTGTATGAATTATAAAAACCAATCAATAATAGTCTTACATATGCCAAGGTCTAGTCACTTTTGTATAAGTAATCGGATATGGGTCAGTTTTGTCACACCTTAACGTGTAACTTTTAAATTGCGAGCTATTACGA